AGCAGGAATTCACAAGGCCCATGTAGAATAAATATGAATGAGAATTCCTGCTTTCTCCTTGGTGGTAGCACCAAAAGTCTCAGGTGGGAGCATCCTAGTAGTTTGTGAGCACAAAAGAAGGCAAGACCTGCTGTAGGGAGTTTACAACCATATCAGACTATGGACAACATTATTTCTAACTTTCAAAACAAAAAACCCCCAAACAAAAATATACACATATGCCACTTTATGCACTGAAAATAATTCACCTGAATTCTCTATTGCAAAGTTAGTTTTACCCAAATAATTTAAAGTTTAAGCCAAATGTAATTTTTAGTTAAAGTCATGTTAAGCTCTCAAAGTATCTTCTGCTTTTTTTTTCCCCCTAAGAATTTGTAGTTAAAAAACATGGTTGTTCAGACCTACACAGAGGACAAAACCCACAGAGTAGCTCAAAATTAAGGTTGCTAAATAAACTAAGTATTGCAAAAGCAACATTCATCCCAGACAGGTATCCACTCTCTCTCTGCTCCCTCTTGTAAAAAAGGAACTGCTCCCCAAGGCAACCATTAGCTTTAGGGCAGTTAAACTCTCACCCTGGGGATTTCTCCCTGCTCATTACAGGGAAAGGGAGAGGAGCAGATGAGGACCTTCTAGGCCTCAGGAAGAAAGAGGAACATAATAGAGGCAGAAGCAAAGGAGGCCTAGGAGCCAGCCTAAACCAGTGCAGCTGGGATATGGGAACACTGCCATCTTTTTAATGTTGCAATCTGGCAGAAACCATTCCTCCTTCCCCAAATCCCTGTTGCCCTATAAGATGCCCAACCAGGGACTCTCTACCCTAATGACTAACAGCATGTCTGGTTCATCTGAATCAAACAGGGGGGAAAACACCCTTAAAAATAAGTGTTAGAATTAAATACAATGATCTGTCAGTTATGGCACACCATACAAAACAGGCATTCCACATTTGGGTCATTTCTCACGCATTCGTGACTTCTGAGAGATGTGCGATATGGCACAGGATAATTTTAAAAAGGTAACAGAGCAGTTGCAGTAGGCATTCTGAATGGAGTTCAGAACCTGCCCTGACACAGCAGGAGATGAAACGTATGAAAGTATACCTTTAATATATTAATGTGCTGTCTAAGCAATACAATAATTAAACTGCTAGTTGCATTCAGTTAGAATGGGTGGGTGGAAAGGAACTGGAAGTGCCTGATGCAGTTTTGCTGCAAGGCAATTCTAGATTTAATAATGATGTTTGTCATGTTCAGATAGTTGGGTCTGAGCCCATCTCTGCAGCTCAGTGTAGAGGGTTCAAGGTCAACTAGCTCCTCACTCAGTCTTTCGGTGTCCTTTTATAGACTCACCTTCTCTGTTTATTGTCTGTACTCTGCTAGGGCAAGCTCTCTCCCAGCAAGTCAATCAGCAAAAGCTCTAGCACAGCACAAACTACTCTCACAAGGTCTTCTCCCAGACCACACACTTTTCTCTAACCATACACAGAATCTGCTGAACTCCCAGTCTCTGGCCATCTCCCAGGAGAAAGGCACTCCAGGCAGGATCCTCAAGGCCCACTGTGCTGACCCTGCAGCTCTTTCCCCCTCAGCTCTCAACTGAGTGCCTATCACAGCTCTCACTCCTCTACTTCTGGCTGTCTGCTTATCTTCACTCTCAGCTCATGACTGTGCCTGTCCTGGGCTCCTTTCTCTG